GGGGCTGAGGTGGGGCAGGGAGAACAGAGAGTGAGTGTTTAATGGCGACAGAGTTTTAGCTTTGCAAGATGAAAAGAGTTCTGGACGTGGATGGTGGCGACGGGTGCACAATGTGAATGTACTTAATGCTACTGAACTGCACACTTAAAAAATGATTAAGACAGTAAATTTCATGCTATCTGTATTTTACCACAACTAAAAATATATAGTTTTTTTTTTTCTTTGAGACAGAGTCTCATTCTACTCCCCTGAGTAGAGTGCTGTGGCGTCAGCCTAGCTCACAGCAACCTCAAACTCCTGGACTCGAGTAATCCCCCTGTCTCAGCCTCCTGAGTAGCTGGGACTGTAGGTGTACACCACCACACATGGCTAATTTTTCTTTTTTTGTTTGTTTGTTTGTTTGTAGACATGGGGTCTCACCATGTTGCTCAGGCTGGTCTTCAACTCCTGGCCTCAAGTGATCTGCCCGCCTCAGGCTCCCAAAGTGCTAGTGTAACCAGCTCCATGAACCTCTCTATGCTTTTGTATAATCTCCTCCCTTAACTAACTACTTGAACTTTTTGAGTTGTTTCCCAGCAATGGTGGATTTTCTGCAAGACAAAGGAGATTTCCAAGGCCCCGGAGCAAGGTTCCTGATGCCAAGAATCACCAAGCCCCGGCCCGGCACGGTGGCTCACGCCTGTAATCCTAGCACTCTGGGAGGCCGAGGCGGGCGGATTGTTTGAGCTCAGGAGTTCGAAACCAGCCTGAGCAAGAGTGAGACCCCCGTCTCTACTAAAAATAGAAATAAATTAATCGGCCAACTAAAAATATATATAAAAAATTAGCCGGGCATGGTGGCGCATGCCTGTAGTCCTAGCTACTCGGGAGGCTGGGGCAGTAGGATCACTTGAGCCCAGGAGTTTGAGGTTGCTGTGAGCTAGGCTAACGCCACGGCACTCACTCTAGCCAGGGCAACAGAGTGAGACTCTGTCTCAAAAAAAAAAAAAAAAAAAAAAAGAATCACCAAGCCCCATGACCTGCCCCAATGCACATGACCGGCCCCAGTGCAGTAGCCCGTTGTTAGTTACACCATGACCTGCCCCAGGGGCCCTCCTTTAAAAGTCCATGATCTCCCCTAGGTGGGGAGACAGATTTGAGGCAGCTTCTCTTGTTCTCCTTGTGGAATTATTAAAAATTCCTTTCTTCCTTGGCAGTCCTCATTTTTCTCAATAATTATATCTTTGTGCCACGAGTAACTGGACCTAGACCGAAATCCCCTTGCAGTTTTGGCAACACTGCGTGAACCACCATGTCCAGCCTGTGTTTGTCTTTCAAATGGGGTTTGTTTTTTTTTAATTTTCCCCAAACAATGGAAGCTTTTAGTGCTAGGGTCTGTATTTTTGGCCCCAGTGGTCTGGGTATGCCTCCCCAAGGATGACTGTGCTTATTTACATATAGAAAATCATTCCAGAGGACGGTTCTATTCTCTCTAGCTCAGCTTCAGAGTTGTGTGTAGTTTCTTTTTGAAAATAGGTGGTTCATTTGGGATAGATGTGTGACAATGGTGTGACAGCATACACACTGCAATGCTGGTTAACTAGGAGGGCACCGGGATGCAGTTTTCCTGAATTTCCATGGATTTCCTGGAATAACCACCTGGTAGCTGAGTGAGCTTAGACAAGGCCTTTGCCTCTCTTGGCCTCAGGCTCCTCATCTGTCAAATGGACAATACCACCTAGTTAGTTGCCGGGAACAGTTTTCAGGATAAGTGGTAGCCTCTGCAGAGTGCCTCACATAATGCCTGGCACACACTGGGCCCTCCACACCTGAGCCCAAGCCCTTCTCCCTGGCTCCTCGTGCATGGTGGAGCACTGTGGGCTTCCTGGACCCGTGGCTCTGTGCCTAGGTGGCAGCGAGGACCTCTGTAGCACTGAAAACATAACTCCTGCCAATGCTTGTGGTGCCGGGGTGTCATATCTACTCCTTCTGAATGAACTTCTCTCCCAGACAAATGCTAATTTGCCCTCCCCTGCCTGTGTCTGATGCCTGTTCCATGCTGCAGAGTGTATGTGTTCGCAGCGGGTGGGGGCAGCCTTGAGAACCACAGCTCATTCTGAAGCTCACAGCCTGGAAGCTGGAGGCTCTCACGCACTTACAAACCCCCACAAGCCCTCCCCACACTGTCCCATCCATTCTTCTTTTCCAAACAGCACCCTCCCTGCACAGTGCTTGGTAACGGTTTGGTGCCCTGCCTCTACTGTCCCCTGCGAGGCTGCCCCTTCATGTCTCCATCAGCCCCTTCACTTAGAGAAGAGCGGGGGGTTGGGTGAGGAGTCAGCCAGGCCCCCCACACCCAATCACTCGGTGATGGCCTGTATCACTGACTATGACAGCCCAGTCTTCCAAAGTCTTGTTTTCTAGTCTGTTGAAGAAGGGAGAAGAGAGTCTCTGGACGATCAAGTTGATCTTGGTCAAAAAGATGCTAATAACACTGAATGTGTATTGAGCACTTACCATGTGCCAGGGACTTCACACATATAACCCGAATATAACTAGGGCCTCGTGCTGCCCGCTCTGCCTGGTGACTGAACCAACCCAGAGACAGCAGTACTTCATCACACTATCATTAAGAGCTATTCGAGTGTTCATTTAGTTTCTCAAACAAATGCCAAGGAGAACATATTCTTGATGCACAGAAACGCTCCCCGAAGCCCTCTTTAGACATTTCTCGTTCTCAGGTTCTTGTGTTACATACATCGTGGCTTCAGAAAAGCTTTGCTCTTGCTCTGCTCCCTCGGACCTCCTGAAGTCCAGCCCCGTCTCTCTCCCTGCACAGCGCCCTCGCCCCCCGTTGCTCTTCTAGGCTACTTTCTCCCCTAGAAAACATGCTCTGCCTGTTATTCTAGAAGTGTTCTCACTTCCCAGGAAGTGGGACCCAGGGATCTTGGTGAGCAAAATCTTTCACCTTGTCATATACATACCACCTCTTTTAATACTCAACAGCCATTAAGTGGCAGAACTGGCAGGACCCAACAGGTCACTGGATGCCACAGCAGATGCTCAGAAAGGTGACTGTCATATAATAAGTGTTCAATATATGTTAGTTCCTCTCCCTTCTTTTGGCCATGCCATGTCTGCTCAAGAATCTTCAAGGGCTCCCTATTGCCTAGAGCAGGGGTCAGCAAACTATGGCCTGCAGGTCAAATCTGGCCTGCCACTTGTTTTGTAAATAAAGTTTATTGGAACACAGGCACATCTATTTGTTTACATATTTTCCACAACTGCTTTCATGGGCAGTTGTCACGGAGACAATATGGCCTGCAAAACCTGAAGTATTTACTATCTGGCCCCTTACAGAAGGAGTCTACTGACCCCTCACCTAGAGGATAAAGGGCGACAGAGACGGCACCTTATCTTCCTTTGACTCTGCCAAGGAGCAAGTGCTGATAAGTAAATTTCAAATGAATTAACAAGAAGTTCACGTCATCAACGTGGAGCCACAGCCCCAAATGCAAAAAGATCCCTAAATATAGTCAGACACCCCAACTTACCTGGCCCCAGCAGAGTGACCCCTTGTCCTTGTAGGCCACAGACAGCCTTTCCAGGGCTGCTGCAGCCGTCCCTGGCTCCTTGGCTCTGGAGCTATCAGGGGATCAAGGTCCCAAAGTCCACTGCCTCTCTACCCTTCAACATCCACACCCGCTTTCTGAGAGAAAAATGTCATACACCTCCTTTTTGGGTGTGCAACATGAAAACAGTTTTCTTTTAAATTCAACAAGCAGAATTATAATGTTGAATATGCTTTTCAAACTGTACTCACCCTTCATTCACGAAAACCATCGATCTTGGTCAACTTGCTCGTTTCACCATTGGGGAAACTGAGGTATGGGTCAAGGATTTGAAGTGCTCAAGGGGGTCCAGTGAAGGAGAAACAGAGCCAGGCTCACCAGAGCTCCCGGTTCACAGCTCAGCACTCAGGTGTTCCTCAGAGCCCACTCCTTGCCAGGGCGGGGGAGGTGAGGGGCCCAAGCTCCCGAGCTGCTGCCATGGCCTCTACCAGGCCCCTCAACGCTCTCATGCTAACCTGTGGGGTTTCTTAACGGAGTGGGGGGATCTGGGGCTCGGTCTGTGGTGTGAAAGCTGTTTGGAGACAAGAACCCTGAGTTCCAGGCCCAGGCCAGGGACAGGCGGCCCCAGATTAAAGACGCCCCCACAGAGGGACGGAGATGCCCTCTTTAGCTGCCACCCTCCTGCATCTGTATGTCTGGCCTGCCCCCTCTGTCACAGCTCCTGTCACACTGCCCCATCTGCATCTCTCTGGCTCCTTGCACCACCACCCCCAAACCCCGTCACACATGCTCTCACTCCGCTCTCTGGCCAGCCACTGCCAGTCTGACAGAGGCCCAGCCCACAGCCTGCAGGCCCAACACAGCCCACGTATGTGTTGTGTCTGTCTGACACTATTCTAAAACAATTTGAATTAGTTGCTCATATTTAAAAACCAGTAGGAATCATCTAAAATATTGAATTTCTTGATTCTCTTGAAAAATCTACAAAGAGGCAATACAGGGCCTGCATCATTTTCTGGCATGACATCAACTGACTGGGGCAAAGGAGCAGTTGCTCCATCTGGATGGAAAATGTACACATCAGGTCCCCGGCGCTGCCTCCCCAGCCCTGCCGCAACACTCCTTTAGACGACCTGTCTGGCCTTGGAAGGCATTTGTGTTTCAACCCTAGTCTTGACCACTTTGATTTGACCACCACCTGCTCCCTCACTCCACCCCACCTCCCACCCAACTCACCAGATAAGACCCTCCCACCCTAAGACCATCCCCAGCAATTAACCCATCCACACCTGGACTCCTAACCATCCAATCACTCGGCCAGGCACGCGAAGGGAGGCTGTGCCCCAGTTGGTGTCCCCAAACACCCCTCTGAACCCATAGCTCAGCCCTCCAGGCCCTCTTCCTCCAAGTCCCACAACTGCCATGGTGGTCACTCAGCAGACGTGGTGGCCAGTCCAACATCCTTTATTGGTTCTAAACAAGGACTCCCGCATTCTTATACTGAGGCAGGAGTTCCTGGATTTTGTACCTGGGTGCTGTGATGGCCTGGACAATCCTCAGTGGGGGGAGGTATTTCCGGGGTGCCATAAAAACAGGATGACGAGGTTTAGTCTTCCTGTCGACGCTACACAAATCCAGGATCAGGCACTTAGGGTTGTAGATACCTTTCCTCTTGGGCCGGATTGGGGTGAACGGTGGACTCTGGCGAGGCTTCACTAGCAGCCGCAACAGGTCCTTCCGAAAGATATTCCAGCTGTTCTCCTTGAGGAACTTCTGGCACATTTCTTCATCACTGGAGGGCAGGCACAGAAGCTGAGGTTCTCATGCCAGCCCCTCCCTGCCCCTGCCCCACAAGCCTTGCCTCCTGCCCCTCTTTCCAATCCCTATGCACATGGGGTGTCGTCCCACCTCTCTGCCTTTCCCAGGTTCTCCCTCTGCCTCCATTCCCTCCCCACAGCTTTATTCCCTTAGATCTGCACTGTCCCATGCAGCGGCCACGAGCCACATGTGCCTACTGAGTAGCTGAAGTGTGGCCAGTCTAAATAGAGATGAGCTATGAGTGTAAAATACACACCAGATTTCAAAGACTTAGGACAAAAGAATGTAAAATATCTCCTTAATAATTTTTATATTGATAACATGTCGAAATGATAATACTTTAGACATATCGACTTCAATAAAATAGATTATTAAAATTAATTTCACTTGATTCTTCTTACTTCTTATAATGTAGCTACTGAAAAATTTAAATTCCATATATGGTCATTACCCATCAGGGAAATGTAAATCAGAACCACAATGAGACACTATTTGCACCCACCAGAACAGCTACAATCAAAAAGATTAATAATAATAAGTATCGATGAGGATGTGGGGATATTGAAACAAAAGTTCCAATACATTGCTGGGGGGAATGTAAACTGGAGCAACCACCATGGAAAGCAGCCTGACAGGTCCTCAAAGGTTAAACAAACAGTCACCATATGGCTCTGCAATTCCACTCCTAGGTATACCTAAGAGAAATGACAATATGTCTATACTTGTACAGGAATATTCACAGCAGCATTATTCATAATAGCCTAAAAGTGGAAATAATCCAAATGTCCATCAATTGATAAATAGATAAATAAAGTGTGGTTTATACATATCATGTGACTCCATTTACGTGAAATGTCCAGGAAAGGCGAATCTATAGAGACAGAAAGTAGATTGGTGGCCGCCTCAGACTGCTCATGGTGCTCGGGGTGGACGCTGCCCCCTTCGCTCATGGCATGTGAGGGTGGGTAAGCGGGGATAGGCTCGGGTGGGCTCAGCACCCACTGGCTTATTCCCTTCTGAGACCACAGCAAGGGAAGGGTGTGTTAAACTCCAACGGACTTGTCTGTACTCTCTTACCTAAGGAAGTAAGCCTAATAAATCACTAACAAATCAGAACGTTCTTCTGGCTAGGTTACGTTGACAAGGACAGAGTTGACTTTGATCCATAGAGATCAACTTAAGAAAACACCCAGAGGTCAGCAGAGGCCACATGCTGGCCCTGTTAGTCTCAGCAGTATGACAAAGCCAGCCTCTGCCTGCTCAGGAAAGCCAACTGTGAGCATATCTTCTCAACTCCATGTTTAGTGACACCAGGTCAACAGTCTGAAACTGGCCTTGGTAGGAGTATTTACACCACAGAAATCAGCAAACAGATGCAAAGCAGGGTCTCCTCCCACCTCCTGGAGAGCTGGTTGTTAAACATCTACCAGCACCAGATAGTCTCTCCTTTAAAAGTTCCATTAACTCCCAATTTCTCACATAGTAAATAACAATACCAAACTCTGACTTAGAACTTAACATGTGTCAAGCACTTTACATTGTTTAACTCATTCCATTTTTCACAACCACCCCATTTCACAAACATGGAAACTGGGGCCAAAGAGGCTAAGGGACTCACCAAAACCTACAAGGGGGCATGTCATTATTGATTCTTAAGGGATATATATTTTTTGACCCAGAGTCCAAGTTAAGACAGACAAGCTTCCACATGTCACCTCCTGATGCTGACGGTCATATTGATTTCTAGTCTTCTTTTCTTCTAGAGGCCTCAGCTTCATATGAGGGTCTCAGTTCCTATCCCCTGCCTCACTTGAACTGAAAGCATCTGTCCTTGCAGGCTGTAAAAATTTATCCCATGATGTCCTTAAGCCCTCCGGGGCCATCCCAGCATTAGCTCACACTGTCTGCTCGGTTTGGGGATCATCTTCATTTCAGCCCTTGGGGCTTCCCTGACTTTCTCGGGGATGCAGCTATTTATCCTCCCTGGCGTGGCGCCTCCATGCTCTGGAGGGGTGATTTTCAGGCTGTCCAGCCCATGGTATTCACGAGACAGGTACTTCTGCCAATCGGCTCTGAGATCTTCAGGACCTCAGAGTCCTCAATTAAAATACGAGGGTTTTGAGCTAGATAATGGATATGTTTTCTGTCTGCTTTAGCGGAGTTCAACAATTAACGAATAAGACAGAATCCTGTCTGTCGGCATTACAGATGAGTGCGGCGAAGCGCTGACTGGGCAGTGCAGATGCCGCGTGTTTCATCTGGTCCCCTCGAGTCTATGTAAACCTTTCCTGAATTTCAGTTCAACAGAAATGATCTGATACCTGTCATGTGGCAGGCATTATGTGTGCAGAGAAGGCTCCTTAAATCCTTTTTTGAGCACATAGGTATGAAAACCATTTTCTATATTGGTAGGACAGAGGAATCAGACATGTGTGGCATCTTTGAACTGGAAGGAACCACCAGTATTTCTCGAACTGTTTTTCTCAGAAAAATGCCCCAATTTTGGCTGTATCTGCATATCACTTGTTCTTTAACACATTAACTGCCATGAGAGTTGTATTTAACTCACTCTAGTTTTGACCCCGGGGCATATATAAAATCTTACTTATTGATGTTCTTATTGTTGCAATTAATATCGACAATTCAATCCTAAAAACATGGATTAAATGAATAGAAGTCAATAAATTTCATTTTTCTATTTATGTTTACCTTTAAATTACACTTGAAGTTTTTATTCTATTTTCGTAATAAAACATTGTGGCCCCAAGGAAAAGTTTCTGTTTTTTTGTGTGTGGTAGTCAAAGTGTTAAATTTACTAATGATTTTTCTTAAATCCACTTAGTTTCTTTTACTTAAATATTTACTCTAGCTTTGTCCTAAGCAACAAAATCTGTCAAGCCATGGGGATAGTAAGCTAGTCATGTTGTTTTTCTAATTCACAATAGAATAAATACATAACTGTTAAAACTAAAAAAAAATTTTTTTTTTTGAGACAGAGTCTTGCTCTGTTGTCCAGGCTAGAGTACCGTGGCATCAGCCTAGCTCACAGCAACCTCAAACTCCTGGGCTCAAGTGATCCTCTGGCCTCAGCCTCCCTAGTAGCTGGAACTACAGGCGTGTGCCACTGTGCCCGGCCTGTCTTATCTTTTTAAAAATCTGTTTTAGGCCAGGCACGGTGGCTCACGCCTGTAATCCTAGCACTCTGAGAGGCCGAGGCAGGCGGATTGTTTGAGCTCAGGAGTTCGAAACCAGCCTGAGCAAGAGCAAGACCCCATCTCTACTAAAAATAGAAAAATTAGCTGGGGGTGGTGGTGTGCGCCTGTAGTCCTTGAGCCCAGGAGTTTGAGGTTGCAGTGAGCTATAATGACGCCACAGCACTCTAGCCCAGGCAACACAGTGAGACTCTGTCTCAAAAAAAAAAAAATCTATTTTACATGTTTATAATATATATCAGTACAGTAATACTATATGTGGATATAATAATTAAAAATAAATTAATTAACACATCTTATCGGCCAGGTGTGGTGGCTCACACCTATAATCCTAGCACTTTGGGAGGCTGAGGTGAGAGGATCACTTGAGGTCGAACGAGACCAGCCTCAGTAAAAGCGAGACCCCGTCTCCAATAAAAATAGAAAGAAATCAGCTGGACAACTAAAAATAGAAAAAAAAAATTAGCCGGGCATGGTGGTGAGTGCCTGTAGTCTCAGCTACTCGGGAGGCTGAGGCAAGAGGTTCCCTTGAGCCCAGGAGTTTGAGGTTGCTGTGAGCTAGGCTGACGCCACGGCACTCACTCTAGCCCGGGCAAGAGAGTGAGACTCTGTGACTTAAAAAAAAAAACAAAAAAAACATGTCATTTATATTACATATGCACACTAGGAGATACATGCTCAAACACTTTTTAGCAATAGCAATGTGAGATGAAAGCAGTTTGGAGACCACTGGTCTGGGCAATAAATAAATGTTTACATTTTAAAAAAGTTATTTTCCCCCTCATAAAAGCATTAACTTTCCCTCTGGAAAATTTGGGAACTATGAAGAAGTAAAAAGAAACACTTTTTATCTAATCTTTCAAGATAGATATTTTTGAAAATTATAAAAGTATTATGTCATTCATTACTGAAAATTTGGGGAACAGGGAAAAGAAAAAAAAATAAACCCACTTGGAATGTTCTACCCTGACAACTGTTAAAAAATTTATCTTTTTTCCCTCATTATAAAAGCAACGCATACTCATTGCAAGAGCAAATAGGAGAGGAATATATAACATATAATCAGAAATCCCCTTTAGTCCTGCCTTCCAGAGAAAACAATTATTACAAATTGGATAATACCATAGCCATTATCATTTTTGCTTATTTCCTTTGATATTTTTCTTGCACAAGTGCTTTACAAAGCCATAGTCATAGTATACACACAATTTTGTGCGGCCCTTTCATATATCATTATATCACCCATTTTACCCTGCTGCTATAGAGCCATTAAACTTACCTTTTTAAAATAAAACAATTACGTTCTATCAAGGGAATGTCTCACAATTTTCTAAACTATCCCTTTAGTGAGGCATATCTGGGTGGTGCTGTCATTGTTTTTCTCTCTGTTATGAATATGACTGCTGTGAACATCTTAATGCAGGTGGCTTTCCCCATATTTTGGCTATGTAAAGACAAATTCACAGATGAATCACTGCCTCACAGCGTTGAGACAGTTTTATAGCCCTTTAAACATAATGCTAAAATTATCAAAAGGATTGAGCCAATTTGGAGTATACCAACAACTACCAGTGTTATTTCACCTTTGTCAGCACTAGGTATCATCATTTTTTTCTTTCTTTCACTAAAATAACAGGTGAAAAAAATTTTCATTTTATCTGATGGGATTTATGCACATTTCTAGCACTGACCTGGGGTACTCAACCTTGGACTTGGACAAATTCTCTCTTATCTGATCATCAATCAGTTCATAAAATTTGTCTCTCCTCATCTGTATCACCTCAGCTCCCAGGCTCATGAGGATGAAGGGCCGTGTGTCATGTTGGTCGTCCGGGAGGAAGAACTGGTGAAAGCCCTAGAGGGAAGAAGTCACAGGAAGTTAGACCTCAGAGACCAGCCAGTTCTGCCAGCAGATTTTCCAGATGGGAAAAAGAAGGCCTCAAAAAGGAGGTGATCCATCTGGGGTCACGGAGAAAGTGAAGAGAAGTCCAGGGCTCCTTTCACTACATGACATCGAAGTCCTCCACCCCTGGAATCCGAAGAGCCCCTAAAGCATGTCACCCGTTGTCCCACTTCCGCAGAGCAGGCTGTACTCCCAGCGTCTCCTCTATTCCCGCTTCCACAACTGCTCTCGAGCTCTCCCCAGTGTCCAATCTCAACTCTTCCTTTTGCCAAGTGAACCCATTTTCTCTTCCTCGGGACTTACAACAAACATCAAACAGCTAGTCCTCTTCTAGACCTTCCCTTTTTAGCCACCCCCACCCCACCCTTTTCTGCAGGCCTCAATTCTTTCTCCATCCATCATGGACTTGGGTGGCCACTGGCCCTCCTCTCTGCAGCTCACGTTGTTCCTCCTGCTCTTTGGCTTAGATTCACTAGGTTCTATCTGGAAGGGAGATGGAGACCTACAGACACACCTGTTTGCTCTATGGAGAACATAATCCCCTTTTTAAGGAGACACCCTGGGATGGGCAGAGCCGGGACTAGAACCCTTGGTGCTGAACTCCCAATCCAGTGCTCACTCTTCAGCCTTTTGGTTATTAATCAAGTCTCAGGCAAGGAAGGGTAGGTGGAGGAAAGGACAGTAGCCATAGAGGCAGCAGCAACTAGCTGGCTCAAGAAGAAAAGGGGCAACAAACAAAGAGGCCTACTCTATGGAGGCCATGTCAGATTGGGACTAATCCTGGCCTCAGAAGGCAGATCCAAATTTTTACTTGTTATGTGCAACTTTAGGCAAGTGATACCTTCCTGGGCCACTGTTTGCTCACCTGTGAAATGGAGATGAGAACAGCTGCCCCACATGCCTCTGAAGGATTCTGAACTTGAAAGGAACTGTGAAGTGGGATTGGGAACACTCCTCACCACCACCACCATTTGGGTTCTAGACCTTAAAGGAAGACCATCTACAAACTCCTGGGTACTCTGGGCCTTGTCTCTCCTTGGTAAGAATGAAATGGAGATATGCTACCTTTCCTATGAAGCTGCTGAAGGTCTAAGCAAGATGGCACGTGTGAGGCAGCTCGGGGGGACACGCAGGCCCTCACATGTTGCTCATGCTCAGCACAGAGGGCACTGAGGCCCTCCTAGCTAATGCCAGGCCTTGTGCAGAGCCAGATGGCTGCCCTTCCGCCAGCTCCCACTGTGTGGAAGAAACATGGACATAAACTGAATCCTGACAACCACCCCAAGACAGAGGAATTATCATCCTCAGATGTGCAAAACGAGGTGCAGAAAAGGAAATTTACTTGTCCATAATCATGTGTTTTATAATTATAATAGTCATGATAACAATGATGCTGCTGATGACAATGATGATAATAGCACCAACTAATATTTATGAAGCATTCCCTAAATTCCAGGCCCTCTTGTAGCTTTTGTGTGTATTAACTCATTAACCTTCACAACAACCCACTGAGCTGGCTGCTACTGTTACCCTCATTTTACAGATGAGGATGTCGATGCTTAGAAAACTGTCCAATATCACACAGCATGAAAACAGTAAAGCTAGGGTTTGAACCCAGGTGGTCTATCTTCAGAGTCCAAGCTATCAGCCACTACAATATGAGAAAACTGAGGCACAAAGAGGTTAAGTAACTTGCCCAAGGTAACAAGACATAAAGTGGCAGAGCCGGAATTTGAACCCAGGGAGCAGCACTGTCCTGCTTACGCTTCCCTCCCCGGCCCCCAGCCAGAGTCAGGTCACTTCTCTCTCTAGATGCTTCAAATAGCTTCCCAAAGCACCCAGGAGGAAATAAAACTCCTCTTCATGCCTGCCAAGGCCTGGGCTGTCTCACCCTTGACAAGTTCTGCAGCACGGCCTCAGGTCGCCCCTACCTTTTTTACTCTGTTCCAGCCACCCTGCCCTCCCTTCCAATCCCCTCCACATGCCAAGTTCCTTCCTGCCTCAGGCTCTGAACTTGCTGTTCTTCTGTCTGGAACACTCTTCCACCAGGCTGGTCCATAGATTGTTCTTTTTGTCACTCAGGTCTCAGCTGAAACATCAGCTCCTCAGAGCAGCCTTCTCCTTGACGGCTACGTTTAAGAAGCCCGCTGCTATTCCACTCCTAACAGCAATACAACACCTTACGTATTTGCTAGTTTATCTGCTCATTGTTTGTCCTGACTAGACTGTAAGCCCCATGAGGGCAGGAATTATGTCCGTGTACTCGTCCACGCTGGCCCCTCGTGCCATGTTTGGAGCATGGTAGATGCTCAAGGAATATTTGCTGAACGACTGACTCAAACAGAGTCACACAACATTAAAGGTGGCAGCTCACCCAGTGAATTTCCTCATTTTCTGATGAGGACACAGATTCAGAAAGGTAAAATGATTCGTCCAAGGCCACACAGTTATCTACTAGAAGCAACATGAGAAGAAGAACCTCCATCTGTCACCTCTCTCCTGCTCTGCCCATGGCTCTCGCCTGCCCAGTCTTGACCACCCTGAGGCCTCAGCCCACCTGCTCCCTGGAGAAGTTGGTTCTTCTATATCTCCTGGCCCCAAATTTGGGTCTCTCCACCCCAGGCCCCGACTTCTGCTGTTCCCAGAGCCAATCCAGCTCCACACTCCTGCTCCTAAGGACGAGGACAATGTGATCTACCTCCTGACAGGTGGATATGGTCACAGCTCTCACCACTCATTCTCCTACCAAGGAAGCCAGGGCCTTGGAACAGGGAGAACAGAGTCCCACATCACAGGAACCTCACGGAGACAGCCACAGACATTCTCTTCCAAGGGGTCATGTTAACACGTATTTGTTGAGGGCCTTCTTTGTGCTGGCCCTGCGTGGGAAAGAAACAGCCAGGTCATTACACTGAGCCCCCATCCAAAGCCTTCCAGGACTTCTACAAAATCAAGGCCAAATTTCCTATTGTAGGTCCTCGACAAATTGGATCCTGTTGTTCCTGTTCCTTCTACAGCCTACCATTCCTGCCACCACCTACCAAACTGAGCAAGGCCTTTCCGGCCCTCTGTGTCTCCATCCCGCCCAGGGTGCCCTAGTGTCCCTTGGCGCCCTATGTTCATGCTGACCTCCTCGCTCTGACACACGGACAAACTAAAGTGAAGCAGTGAAAAGGCTGGAAACGCTGTCACAGGAAGAATGACCGAAGGAATGGAGGTCATTCTGCCCAAATAAGAAAATAATTAATGGAACGCTGGCACTGTGCCTGGCTGCACAAATGTTGAATGAAAAACAAAACAGCATTCTTTAAATATCTAAGGGGCATCACATGGCAAGGAAGCTGATTTCTTCTGTTTTGTTCTTGGGGTGGGGCAGGGAGAGGAGAGGAGCTAGTTTAAAGTTGCAGGAGGCAGAGTTTTACTGGACAAGAAGAACTTCCTAAGAGCTCCAAAGTATTCAGTCAGCATTGACCAAGGGCCATGCTAGGGATCGGGGCTCCCAGACAGTCCTGGACTGACCTTCCCAGCTCTGAGGACACACAGGCCAGGGAGCAGGAGCACCCATGACCCACCATAACACAGGGTGACAAGGGCATAACAAGGACCTTGGAGACACTGTGACTGAGGAACAGTGGAAAGGGCTTGGGAAGGGAGCAGGTTCCCAGAGGAATGACCACACATGGGCTTCAGGACACAGCCCCTCCCCAGCAGGCTGAGGCCTGCTGCCCCTCTGCACTCCCCGTCCCCCCAACTGCTCCTACGCTCAGCGCTGGCACCCACCACCCATCTTCGGTGGTGTTCAGCTCACAGCCAAACCTGGATCAGCCACACTTTCCCTCCACTACTGCATTCATTTTTTTTTTAAATGGTCTATTTTTTAGAATAGTTTTAGATTTATAGAAAAATTGAGAAGATAGTACAGAGTTCTCACCGCCCCCTCACAATTCCTCACACCCCCCCCAGTTTCCCTAATATTCACATCTAACATTATACATCTTAATTACAATTGATGAACCAATATTGACACCTTATCACTAGCTGAAGTCAATGAGTTACTTAGATTTTCTGTTCTACCTAATGTCCTATTTCTGTTCCGCTGGCCTATCTGGGATACAACATTACATTTCATTGTCATATCTCTTTAGGCTCCCCTTGGAGCCTGTGGCAGTTTTCGGTAACTTTGACAGTTTTGAGGAGCATTCATTGGTATTTTGTGGGATGCTCCGCTATTGGAGTTCGTCTGATGTTTTTCTCATGATTAGACTTGGGTTACAGTTATTAAGAGGACGACCACAGAAGTGCCATTTTCCTCACAGCATACCAAGGGGCAACACTATCAACACAATTTATTACTGTTGATCTTGGCCTTCATCACCTGGCTGAGGCAGTTTCTCAGATCTCTCCACTGGAAAGTTACTCCATCTCCCCCTCTTTCCATACTGTATTCTTTGGACGGAAGGTCACTTTGTGCAGCCCATGTTTAAGGAGTGAGGAGTTACGCTCTCCCTCCTTTAGGACAGGGCATCTACATAAATTATTTGGAATTATTCTGTAGGAAGATTTGTCTCTTGTCCTCCATTTATTAATTTATTCATTACGTATTCATTTATAGCAATATGCACTCATGGATGTTTATTTTATACTCTGGGTTAGAATCCAGTAATGCTTTATTTTTTTTGCTCCAATTGCTCTACCTGTGGCTGCTGGGAGCTCTTTCAGTGGGCCCCATGTCCCTCTGACATGCTCCCTTCGATGTGGTCTTTCCCTCCAATGGTTCCTTCACATGCTGTGTCATGAACAGAGCTCTCTGCACACTTACCACGATTTCTCCTTGCTCCACAGTGTGGATCTTCATGTAGGCCCCCACTGCAGCCTCCTTGGGGAGCTCACCAAACTTGGTATCGATCATAGGACATTTGATCGGATGAGTATGCTTGGATCTGAAATTTGACAGCTTGTTAGAAAGAACTCATCTGTGACGAGGCCAGCCTGAGTGAGGCCCTGCCTAATCAGCCTACACTCTACAAGGTGAGAGCTCCCCTCCCTGGAGAATTCACACCTCCCAGAAGGTGAGAAAACTCCAAGAGCCCTGGGAGAGACTGACTTCCATTGCCAGGAACTGGGGACGTGGGGAGGAGACTGGGAAGGGGCAGGAGCTGGGGCCCCTTTGAACACCTGATGGCTGCTCTGTGGAGGGAGGGCTGGGGATCCCTCAGCTGGGCCAGGCCTGATGGGCCAGACATCTAGGCCTACTTACGCTCAACGTGAGGAAGGAATTTCTAACAGAGCAGTCTGAAAATGGAATAGACTGCTTTGACAAGGAATAAGCTCTGTACTCCTGGGGACGAGGCAGAAGTTGGGGCTCTTCTTGACAGGAAGGCAGAGAAGAGATGGCTTATTTGTTTACAAAGACAGGTTTACCTAGGTGGCCTGGAGACCCTGTATTTTATTCACATTGGAGTTAATTTCACACAGGCAATCCTGCCATGCTTTCTTTGGTCTCTGTCTAGATAGAAGGCAGAGGCAGGCTGTGCTGTTTGGACTAGAGGCAGGAAAAGATTATTTACCAGCCGAGAGTATAGCTGAGCTCGCTCAGCACATAAACAGACAAGATTCAATTCCCAGCCCACCAGGACATGGACATGAATGGCACATGCCCAGCATGTCCTTTATTTTTCACTTCTGGGTCCAACCCATCCCTTCTTCCTGACTGATTCACAGCAGAGAACCTGGGTCTGTTCCACCTCTACCTTCAGAAGAACTGGGACTGGGATTTCAAGCACTGGGTTCCTCGGAATGAACAGAAGTTATGGAGGCTCGTTATGGAGGTGAGCAGCTTGGAAGTACTACCGGGCAAAGGACTTGAGTGAAGTGGCCCTTGGGGCGACAAGGGGATTGTGACACTGATGCCTTTATTAGTGCCATTATGATACCTCAATTCCAAATGTAATGAGGGGAGGGGGCTACACTGCTCTGGGTTTGGGGTTGAGCTGATTCTAGGCTGGGCCCCACTGAATGTCCTTTTCTGCTCCTCATCCTCTCTAGGAAACCAAAAGCACAGCCCTCAATGTGCACCCGGTCTCATATCAATAGTGACAATTGTAAAGACTGAGCATTAACAAGCTGCTCAGTTTTGAGTCCTGGTTCGGCCACTTCCTACCTGTGTGACCAGGACCTTAATCTTTCTCTGTATCTTGGTTTCCTCACCTGAAAAATGGGAGTGATAATAATAGTACTTACTCATAGGGTTATTATAAGGATTCAATTAGATAATTCAGTACCAGGCACAGAAGAAGTATTTTCGTTCAATTGCTGGCTTACAACAACCCTGAGACTTAGCTACTATTATCTAGAATGAAATAAGGCTTAGAGAGGTCAAGTCCCTTGCCCAGGGACACAGAGCAAAAATAAGTAGCCAGGCCAGGAGCTGAACTCAGGTTGGACTGACTCCAAACCTAGGCTCTTATTACTGAGCTATAACTGCCTCCCTTAGATGGGTAGAATTTTTTGAAGAAGCTCAGAATCAAAAGGGCCCAGCAGCACACACACCAACAGAATGTCAGAGCCAGAAGATCCATCCTGCCCTTCCTTAAGTGTGTTACCGAGGCTCTGAGAAAAGAAGGCTACCTAACATGGCCCTGCGAGTCAGAGGCGGAGAATGCAGGTCGTAGACAGCAAACCTAGGTGGCCTTACGTGCACACACCCATCCCTCTGGCGTGGACTTGTGTCTGCCCCTTCCCCACCATCCTTGACATTCGGCCATGGACCTCATAGCCCCCTTTTCAACTGCAATCTGGACTCTTCTATCTGCCAAGAGCTGAGCTTACTTGATCTTTGGGCCCAAGAGCTTTGGGAGGCTATTTCCTGAGGTTTTGATCGTCCCACTGACGCTTGTCCCCTTTTGCTCCCAGGCTTTCTGGAGATGTAGAAGTTTCAAATAGCTGAAGTCCTGTAGAGGATATGATTTGATCTGGAATTCCTTAAATCTCTCCCTAGGAGAGGGTTCTGTTAGAGAAAGCACAGGAAAACACATTAATGGGTCTTTGTATACACGACAGTTACGGTGGTGGTGGAAGAAATATATCATAGGAACCTGCCTGGACAGTCTGGCACATGAGGGAATTAAGAGGAAAGGAAAAGAAAAACACTGTGGCTTCCATGTAACATCCCTGTGTTGGAGCCTTCCTATGAGTTATATCCAGACAAGTATAATTAGGCTAATCTAAGAGATAAGATGAACAGCAGAGAGTTGAAGTCACCCAGAAAAGGACCAAAGCTTGAATTTGAATTCAGGTCTATTTGATTCAAAGCTCACTATCATTCCATTAGCAGATCACATTTATCTCAGCTTTTTAAACTGGGCTTTCACATTGGGGCAGGGGTGATGATAAAACATAGATGGATGACTGGCCATAGAGCCTTGGACACGTCACGTAATCCTTAGAGCCCTCGGAAGATCATCATAAGAATTAAAGATAAAGTACGTGATACGCACATGCCGGTATATAATAGGCCCTCCATGAGAGTTATTAAAATGATCTCCAAAGAAGTATAACTCAGAAATAAAAAGGAGCAAACCAATTTGCTCAAAAATACTATGCTGAGTGAAAGAAGTCAGACACAAAAGAGTCCACACTGAGAAGACAAATGCAACCTACTTGGTGACAGAAAGCTGATCAATGCTGCTGAGGGCAGGTGTGAAGGGTAGAGACTGACTGGGAAGGGACACAAGGGAGCTTTTTTTCTTTTTTTTTTTGAGACAGAGTCTCACTCTTTTGCCCGGGCTAGAGTGAGTGCTGTAGCGTCAGCCTAGCTCACAGCAACCTCACACTCCTGGGCTCAAGCGATCCTCCTGCCTCAGCCTCCAGAGTAGCTGGGACTACAGGCATGCACCACCATGCCCGGCTAATTTTTTCTATATATTTTTAGTTGGCCGATTAATTTATTTTCTATTTTTAGTAGAGACGGGGTCTCGCTCTTGCTCAGGCTGGTTTCGAACTCCTGAGCTCAAACAATCCGCCCGCCTCGGCCTCCCAGAGTGCTAGGATTACAGGCGTGAGCCACCGCGCCCGGCCCGGGAGCTTTTAGAGGTGATGGAAATGTTCTGTAACTTGATTATGGTGGCTACACGGAGGTATAAATTTGTCAAAATTCATAGAACTACACATGTAAAATGCGTGCATTTTATTGTATAAAAATTATACCTTGATAACATTGATTAAAGAGAGATCTCTAGTGTTAGAATCAACTATTAAAATTAATGTTAATGAAAACAAATCCCAACTCCACAAGGAATAGACCTGGCTTAACAGAACATACTTGCCCTGAGTATGACCTTTTTGAAAGGCATGCAACAACATCTATCAATATTTTAAATATACATAAGCCAGTATGTGCTGATCAATGACTTGATTCAGTAATTCTAAGAATTTGTCCAATATGTCTCCTTGCTAAACACACCAGGAAATTCACCACAGTAGGGTAAAAATTTGGACAGAGAAAAACTGGAAATAACTCAAAATACCTGTAAAAGGTAGTTAAATTAATTATTGTATATCCCTATAAGAGAATAAAGCTCAGCTATTAAAAAACATAGGTCTAGACTTCTGCTTCCAGCAAAGATGGTGTGACGGGGGCCAGGCATTCTCTCACACATATTTACAGCCTGGGATGTGCCCATAACCATATAGAACAGCCAAGACAGATACGTTTATCCATTCACTCTGTGATTAGCTTCTGAGTACCCGCTAGATGCCGGGCGTGGTCGTAGGCCCTGGGAATACAAAGCCCGCCCTGATAGAGCTTATATGCTAGCAAGGGAGACAAATATTTAATACCCATTTCGGATTCAGTTGTATGATTTCAGTGGGGTTAAATACCACAGAAGAAAAACACGGGGCACTTGAACGGGACACAGTGGGGATGGAAGACGCTGATCCAGCATGAGAAATCGGAAGACTTCTCTGAGGAGGGGATGTTTCTTTACTCCAAGATCTAAAAAGCAGAAGAGAGCTGGGCAGAGTAGGGGTAGGGTGTGAGAGGCAAGGAGAAGATGGCCACGTGGGAAAACCTGAAGAGCGACAGGGAAAAGGCTCGCGAGGCGGCCAGAAGGGAAGGCAGGGCCTTGTGGACCAGGTTTCCACAGCTGGTAGAAGAAGGGATCCAACCAGACATCCCGTCCCGCCCTGCTGGCTCAGATTTCGGATTCTACGGGCTGGGAATGGGAAACAGGAAGGGCCCAGGCGCCCCCTGCCGCCAGAGCGGCCGAGCAGCTCACCGTTGAAGTGGTGCCTCAGAGGCCTGCCGTCTATCAGCTCCAGGTGCTGCCAGATCCACTTGAGGTAGGACGGGGACTCCCCCAGGTCTATCAGCCTCAGGACTTCACAGCTGCCCTGGACGCATCGAGGGACACAACAAAAGGGTTAGCGCCTGAGGCCCAGGCAGGCCAGGCTTTGCAGATAAGCTCTCAAATTGCATCTCATCCCATTTTGTTTTATCTGCTTAATGCAAGTGGTTTCAGGTTCTTTTTTTCTTTTTATGAAAATGTTATCTACTCATTAAAAAATTTAAGTAGCTAAGAAGGCATAACAACTAAATACAATGCTGGCACTGGGAAAATATCAACATGGAAGTCGTTGAGACAATTGGAGAAACTGATTATGAACTGTAGATTATATATTATATAAATATTAAAATTCTATGATTTTGATAATTATTCTGTGGTTAATTTCTGATCTTAGAAAACAATTGAGTATACAGGAGTAAATGAGTACAATAAATGATACTTAACTCTCAAATGATCTAGGTGAAAAAAATATATATATACACAAAAGCAAATGTGGCAAACATTAATAACAATCAGTGAAGCTTGGTTAAGGTTATAAAGGAGTTCTTTGTACTGCTCTTGTAATTTTTCTATAAATTTAAAATTATTCCAAAATTAAAAGTTTAAAAATATTCAAACCAAATAGGAGAACAAAGAGAAAGTTAAAACTACATAATCCTAACACCCAGAAATAACTGGTAGTAAAATATTGCTGAATATTATTTCAAAATTTTCTCTCTAAACATATAAGATATATATAATTTTTCATAAATGAATTCATTTATGTAAAACAGGCTTGTAACCTTTTTAGAATCTCAATAATATATCAAAGACATCTTTCCATGCCAAATGATATGGTTCTACATTATCATTTTAATGGTTACATATTATTTTATGTGTACCATAATTTATAAAATTAAAAATAACAAATATTCAGTTGAGCAAAAGAAGTCAGGCACAAAGAGTACATACCGTATGATTCCATTTATATAAAGTGCAAAAATGGGCAAAAGTAATCTATAGTGATATAAGTCATAAGACTGGTAACCTTTGTGGGGAATTCTGTCTGGGAAAGGGCACAGAGGAGCCTTCTGAAATGCTGGAAATGTTCTTTATTTTGATTTAGGTGATGATTACACAAGTGCATGCATAAGCAAAAATTTATCAAGCTGTAAAGTTTAGATTTCAAATCTTTACTGCATATATGTTATACCTCAAGAAAACATTTCTGAAGATTCATATTTGGTTGTTTTTAATTTGTCAGTATTATATATATATAACTCTGATTTTGTTTAGGGCAGCAAAGTCCCCAGTTAAAAAAAACTTACCACTTTTCCAAACTCCCCTGTAGTGGGGTGGCAGTGGGCCAGTTCTGGCTAATGAGATATAAGTGGAAGACTGCTCAACAAAACTCCCAGGAAAGCTAGCATTGTCTTTCCACCTTTCCTCTGCCTGAAACTCAGATGTGATGGCTGGAGGTGGAATAGCTATATTGTGACAATTAGGACAAAAGCTATAAACTGTGGAGGATGAGGGGAAAAACTAGAAGGGACCTGAGGTTTTGAAGACTTCCTACAACAGCTGTTCCAGTCCTGGACTGCCTAATTCTAGAATGATTATTGCATGAGAAAAATACTATTATGTTTACTAAGCCACCACAGTTGGGTTTCTGTGATCTGCAACAGAGAGCAACTCTAACAGATATTCTTGTAGATACATCTTAATTCCTACAGAGGTCATTAAGGTAGCACACAAATACTCAAGTTCTCCTTTGAGGCACATGGCAGACAGAATTGTACTTTTCCATCCTTTGAATTAGGCACGGACTTCTTACTTGCTTTAGCCAATTTTCTTAGATTTCTTTAGCAAAGTAACTTTTACTCTGAGTAGAAACTTTAAAAGCTACTGCTTGATTCTCAACATTCCCTTCTCCTGTCCTGTTGCTCATGGGAGAATGGGTCAAGCCTCTAGTGGCCTGAGCCCCTGAGTGACCACAAGGAGCAAGGCCTCTCTGATGACCTATGGGCAAGGAGAGTGACGAAGGAATATATCTTGGTTAGTTAATCCACTGAAGTTTGAGGATTGTTTATAACAGCAGCATCATCTAGTTTATCCTAATATAATACCCATGCTTGATTATCTCCTTAGGGATAATTCCTAAAGTTATGCATGTTTAAAATTTTGATACGCATCGCCAAACTGCCTTCCAGAAAGGTTAGCTCAATTTACAGTCTCTTAACCAGTGCATAACAGAGCCCATTATAACACAATTTTGCCAACACTGGGTTTTCACAATCCTTTTAATCTTTGCTAATCTGACAGGTAAGAAAGATGTCATTTTTTCTTTTTATTTTATATCTTTTTAAAAATTTTACTCTTTTTTAGCAGGAACTCTAAGAGACACATTATAAAGGGTTAAGATTCAAGACAAATTCCTGTTGAAGAGGAAGGAGAAGAATGGAACAAACATTTAATAAGCCCTTATATGCCAGGCATTGTGCTCGAAGCTTTATTCAATATTCATTCAACAAACAGTTATCACCAAAGAACTGCAGGAGCCAGAGAAACACACACCAACGCAGTTTTCTCTTGGAAAGTTTCTCATGGGTCTTTCAATTGTATCTGTATGTGTGGAAAGAACAGTTTCATCATGTGTCCCCAAATGATAAACTGTTCAAAATGAGTTGATTATGGGCATTAATTACATTTGTGAAGCCGGCAGGAAATCATATTAATATTTTCCAAGGTTCCAAGGATGCCCAGGGACTCGAGGCTGATTCCGCCCTCTAGTGGCAATATGAGTAAATTACAGGAGTTGGGCAGTCCGGTCTCCTTCCCAAAGAACATTCAAGGCGCTGGCCAGGCAGGAAACAAAAATGAGAAAAAAGAGCAGTCCGTTTAGAGGGAGTAGGCGCTTTTTAGTTCCAGCCAGACGGGGCCTTGTACCAGAATACAATCTGGTGTTGCCTGATCTTCTGAATTCTCAAATGCCAGAAATCAGAATTTTTATGTAAAATCTTCACATTAACGATTAAATCAGATTTTAACGAAACACTGTAAGGAACAAACCAATCTCATCTGCTGGGCCCTCTGAAAGCCCCCCTACATGCTGTCATTTTGTGACTTCTGTGTTATTTTTCCAGGTACCCCTGCATTAGAATCACCTGCAGCAGCCCTTAATTGCAGATTCCAGAGTTAATGAGTCAATCTCTGGGGCAAGAAAGTAATCTGCCTTTTTAAAAAGCACTCTAGGTGTTTTTATGCTTACCGAAATTTGAAAATTCCTCCCTTGGGCCAGGGGTTCTCCAACTTTAGTGTGCATCAGAATCACCTGGAAAGCTTGTTAAAATACAGATTACTGAGACCTCCCTCCCGAGTTTTGGATTTAACAGCTCTTGGGTGGGTCTGAGAATTTGGATTTTGAAATGAGTTCCCAAGTGCTGCTGGTGCTGCTGCTGCTGCTGCTGGTCCAGCCACAACACTTTGAGAACGACTGGATTCAAGGATGAATGTGAATTGAGGAAGCACGTGCTAAACTGATTCTCAGACTTCAGAAGGTGAGTGGTTCCATTTTACAGATGAAAAAATGGAGGCGAAACACATTAAGAAGCATCCCCTACTTTCTGCCAGTCAGAACGTAATCAAGCTGATTAAAGGAAGTCTTGGATTTATATCCCTCCCCACTCGTCCCCTCATCGTTCCTGGCTGCAAAGTAGCAAAAGAGCTTCGCGTTAAATCTGGGAATATATGTTATTTCATGGCTTTGGAGGTGATCACCTCAAAATTTTAGGAAAGAATTAGCAAGTATCAGGGAAGAGAAGGAATTGAAAATTATGCAGGTTGGCCTTCAGGGCTCTCCAACCAACCTCCCATTTCCTGTTACATGATCATCAGGATTCTCCAAACTTATCATAACCCCAGGCATAGCCCTACTGTGCCCTCGCTGGCACTGACCTCACCCCATCCTCCTTTGCAGAGATCCAGTCCGTCTTCAGTGTGCAGAGATGAAGCCAATCGCTTCATTCCCCGGGTTCCCTTGCAGCTAAGCTTCTGGATGTGACTTGGGTTCCACCAATCTGATGCACTTGGACAAGGCTTGGTTTTGGAAGTGCCACACATCCACTTTGTTACTGGAGATGGTGGCTGTAGCAGTGGCTTCCTGAGATGGCAGGGACAGCAGCACCTGTGGCAGTCCAGCTCTGGACTCTGACTTGGAGGTGGCTGGGAGTCATTTTCAGTCTAGGGTCTGTTTCTGTAGGCTTCTCCCCAGGAAATCTATTAGCCATTTAACATTCTGTGATAAATCCCTGTCCACTTATATTAGCTAGACTTAATTCTGTTCTCTGGGACTGACCCCAGAATAACAACACACACACAAACACACACACTCCCAGTGGTGTTAGTAAGTTTAACAGTTAGCTCTCCAGAAAAAAGTAATATGTATATAAATTTTACTGATATAAAGGGTGTATTACACGTAATTTATAAATAATAAAATATGCCAGGCCGGGCACGGTGGCTCACGCCTGTAATCCTAGCACTCTGGGAGGCCGAGGCAGGCGGATTGTTTGAGCTCAGGAGTTCGAGACCAGCCTGAGCAAGAGCGAGACCCCGTCTCTACTAAAAATAGAAAGAAATTAATTGGACAACTAAAAATATATAGAGAAATTAGCCGGGCATGGTGCCACATGCCTGTAGTCCCAGCTACTTGGGAGGCTGAGGCAGGAGGATCGCTTGAGCCCAGGTGTTTGAGGTTGCTGTGAGCTAGGCTGATGCCACGGCACTCACTCTAGCCCAGGCAACAAAAGTGAGACTCTGTCTCAAAAAAAAAAAAAAAATGCCATACTCTTACTGGAAATTCCATAGAGCCAATCAATTTTCACAGAATGCTTTGGTTGACTTTGGCTGAACTTCTGTATCCACGGCCAATCTACAGTTGCAATTCAACCATAATTTGACAAATGAAGTTGCATCCCAATTCATTCTTTTCCTAATAAATTTAATGTTATTAAATCTGATCTGTGATCTGTGAAACTATTTCTCACCCTCACATAGATGATATTCATTAAATTGAAACTTCTTTCAGCTTTAGCACTATGTATGTCAGAACTTTACTTGTTCATCAATGATGTAACTTCTGTGATGAATCAGACAACAGTTTTTATATACTGTCAGACTATTTCCTCAATTCCCTTCTCCACACAGTGTAACAGATACAGACCCAGCCCACTTTTAAATTTAATCTGCATTATAAACAATTTCTCTTAATGCTGTCCTAAGACAATCAGCAGAGTCATAAATCAAGACTTGACTTAGGGTGTCTGCTGATTCCACTGTGTAAATACTCCCACATGGCTGACTGTAAGCCACCAAAGTGAAGCCACCGAGTGTGGGTTTGGGAAGAGATGTACAGAATTGTATGGTACTTCTGCCAGATAAATACGATAGACATGAACTCAAAGCAAAGATAATAGTAAAATGCAGTAACATCTTTAGGAAATGGTGAGTTTTCAGTATTTATTATCCTTGTTTTCAATATAGCTTATTTAACTATAGGTTTATATAATCTAATATTTAGTAATTACTGTGTTTATCAACTTGCAAAATTCCTGAAAATTTAACAATCAGCTCTTTTTTTTTTTGAGACAGAGTCTCACTCTATTGCCCAGGCTAGAGTGCTGTGGCGTCAGCCTAGCTCACAGCAACCTCAAACTCCTGGGCTCCAGTGATCCTCCTGCCTCAGCCTCCCAAGTAGCTAATTTTTTGTTTCTGTTTTTAGTAGAGATGGGGGTCTCACTCTTGGTCAGGCTGGTCTTGAACTCTTGCCCTCAAGCAGTCCTCCCATTAATTAACCCATTTAATCACAGATTGCTAGGATTACGGGTGTGAGCCAATGTGTCTAGCCAACAATCAGCCCTTGAAGGCCAATACAAGCCAGCTCCAGCACCCTACCACTCTTGCTCCCTCCTTTTGTCTGCTGGTTCAATACTTCAAGGCTCATCTACCACTCCAGCCCCTCCAGGAAGTTTTCCTTAAAAGCCTCCAGCCTTAAGAGAGTTCCCTCTCCTGAATTCTGGTAACTTGCACAGTTTGCACCAATCTCTTGGTACTCGGCTCTGACAACTTTGTCTATACATGGAATCTAGTGGAAGAGATATATAAAGAGAAAGAATCAGTCTTTTTCATCTCTGTATCCCTCCAGAGCCTGAACCAATGTGTTGCAACCTTGACAAAAATTCAACAAATGCCTGTGGTGTCTTCACCTGTAAGGAACTGACAGAAAGATCAACTCGAATCCCAAATCCCAGTTCCTGAAAAGATCTCTGGAGTCAGACAGACCTGGGTTGAACCCTCTTGCCCTCATCACCTGTAGGACCTTGGATAACCACGTAACCTTACTGTGCCTCAGTCTCCTCCTCTGTAAAATGGCAATAATGACAATGCCAACCTCCTTTAGGCTACTGAGACTAAAGTGAGATAAAGCATGTGAAACACAGAGCCTGGTATATGGTAAGCATTTAGCAATCTAACTTGATAAATGTTAGATTTTCTTTTCATTATCAACCAACAGAGAGAAGGTGGCAAAGGACATAGAGCAATTTTCAAAAGACAACCTTAAATATTAATAGTAAATACACATGATAAATCTCACTAGTAATCAGAAAATATATATATATATTAAATCCTCAGTGAGGCAACAATTGCCACCTATTAAATTTGAAAACTTCTGAAAAAATGACTTGCAAGGCTGGCAGAGGTGTGGTGGCATTGGCAAAGCTGTACATCCTGGAAGCCAGATAAGGTGGACTCCCCCTCTTTTGGAAGGCACTTGGTTCGAGGAGCCATAAAAATCATGAAACTGGAAGTTGAGCCCAATCTCTGTCCCTGACTGCTAGATCCCATTGCAGCGGTCCCTATAGCTATCTCAATGGCCCCCTTGGATAAAGTCTGCCTTGCAAAAGAAAAATTATGATACCAAGACATTCCACTTTTGAAACTCTACCCCGAGGTAATGAGCTTATGGGTAATTTCTTCCCTCTTTCCAAAAAGTTTTCTAATGTAGTCATATCACTTTTACAATTTAAAGATTATGATTTTTTTTTTTTTTTTGAGACAGAGTCTCACTCTCTTGCCTGGGCTAGAGTGCTGTGGCGTCAGCCTAGCTCACAGCAACCTCAAACTCCTGGGCTCCAGTGATCCTCCTGCCTCAGCCTCCCAAGTAGCTAATTTTTTGTTTCTGTTTTTAGTAGAGATGGGGGTCTCACTCTTGGTCAGGCTGGTCTTGAACTCTTGCCCTCAAGCAGTCCTCCCATTAATTAACCCATTTAATCACAGATTGCTAGGATTACGGGTGTGAGCCAATGTGTCTAGCCAACAATCAGCCCTTGAAGGCCAATACAAGCCAGCTCCAGCACCCTACCACTCTTGCTCCCTCCTTTTGTCTGCTGGTTCAATACTTCAAGGCTCATCTACCACTCCAGCCCCTCCAGGAAGCTTTCCTTAAAAGCCTCCAGCCTTAAGAGAGTTCCCTCTCCTGAATTCTGGTAACTTGCACAGTTTGCACCAATCTCTTGGTACTCGGCTCTGACAACTTTGTCTATACATGGAATCTAGTGGAAGAGATATATAAAGAGAAAGAATCAGTCTTTTTCATCTCTGTATCCCTCCAGAGCCTGAACCAATGTGTTGCAACCTTGACAAAAATTCAACAAATGCCTGTGGTGTCTTCACCTGTAAGGAACTGACAGAAAGATCAACTCGAATCCCAAATCCCAGTTCCTGAAAAGATCTCTGGAGTCAGACAGACCTGGGTTGAACCCTCTTGCCCTCATCACCTGTAGGACCTTGGATAACCACGTAACCTTACTGTGCCTCAGTCTCCTCCTCTGTAAAATGGCAATAATGACAATGCCAACCTCCTTTAGGCTACTGAGACTAAAGTGAGATAAAGCATGTGAAACACAGAGCCTGGTATATGGTAAGCATTTAGCAATCTAACTTGATAAATGTTAGATTTTCTTTTCATTATCAACCAACAGAGATAAGGTGGCAAAGGACATAGAGCAATTTTCAAAAGACAACCTTAAATATTAATAGTAAATACACATGATAAATCTCACTAGTAATCAGAAAATATATATATATATTAAATCCTCAGTGAGGCAACAATTGCCACCTATTAAATTTGAAAACTTCTGAAAAAATGACTTGCAAGGCTGGCAGAGGTGTGGTGGCATTGGCAAAGCTGTACATCCTGGAAGCCAGATAAGGTGGACTCCCCCTCTTTTGGAAGGCACTTGGTTCGAGGAGCCATAAAAATCATGAAACTGGAAGTTGAGCCCAATCTCTGTCCCTGACTGCTAGATCCCATTGCAGCGGTCCCTATAGCTATCTCAATGGCCCCCTTGGATAAAGTCTGCCTTGCAAAAGAAAAATTATGATACCAAGACATTCCACTTTTGAAACTCTACCCCGAGGTAATGAGCTTATGGGTAATTTCTTCCCTCTTTCCAAAAAGTTTTCTAATGTAGTCATATCACTTTTACAATTTAAAGATTATGATTTTTAAAAAGATGATCTGGCATCTTTAAGATTCAAGAGCCAAATATATGATATAAATATGCATCTATACGTAAATAAGCATGCATATGAGCTCAAGGAGGGAGCAACCCTTGGTCCTCTTTCTAACGCAATAGCTATACATCTTAAAGGTTGCAGCAGCCCTCCGAGGGAGGCAGGCCTTTTAAACTAGGACACAGAAACTCAGAAAAGGAAGTGCATTGTGCCAGTTGCAGAACAGGACTCAAATGCTGTCTGTCTGGCCACAGGACATTATATCAGGCACGCTCTTCCCAGCTTCATACTCATCCCCCACCCCCAGACTTCTCACCTTGCAGACAAACATGATGAAAGATGACTTTACAATGTCTTTTGAGATCAGCTGCCCGTAGGAGAATTTCTCTGTCTTCCCCAGGACTACAAGCTGCCAGAGCTTCTCATCAGACCACAGTGCAAACAGATCCATCTTCCTGAGGGGAAAGGCCTGTTAGAATTCATCACTTTCCATCACATAAGGTGCTCAGATCATAGCAATTTCCAGAAATAGAACATGCTCTTCTACTGTGGAAGATGCCTGGGGGGAAGGTTTTTCCACTCCCCATCCAATCAACTAGCCTGTAGCCACTGCCCCACTGTCACCTCTGCTCCCTCCACCCTTTTCTCCAGGCCCTCCCCTCCCCACCAAGCTCATCTCATTCCATCCTTACAGTGACCTTGTGAGAGAGGTATCATTATCCACATTTTACAGAGCAGGAGGCTAAAGCCCAGAGAAATGAAGTAACCTGTCTAGGGTCACATCGCTGATAAACCTAAGAGCTGAGGTTGGAACCAGACCTATTTTTCCACAATATGAAAAACAGGCCGGGCGCGGTGGCTCATGCCTATAATCCTAGCACTCTGGGAGGCCGAGGCTGGAGGACTGCTTGAGCTCAGGAGTTCTAGACCAGCCTGAGCAAGAGCAAGACCCCGTCTCTACTAAAAATATAAAATATTAGCCAGGCATCATGGTGTGTGCCTGTAGTCTCAGCTACTGGGGAGGCTGAGGCAGGAGGATCCCCTGAGCCCAGGTGTTTGAGGTTGCTGTGAGTTAGGCTGATGCCACGGCACTCTATTCAGAGCAACGAAGTGAGACTCTGTCTCAAAACAAGACAAAAAAAAAAATGAAAAATGAACTGTTCCTTCAGGACTGAATCCCCGCTTTCCCAGGCTCCAGCTCCCTTCATGAAGACCTCTCTCAGCTCCAGCCACAGGGACCAGACCCCTCTGCCAACACACTTCCCTGTAGCTGTGCAGCCCTACAACCTAGATTTTCAGAGTTAGTGCAGATTCTTTAGTGGGTTTTTACTTTTACATAAAAGTAAATAACTAAAGAGTAATAAAATGAGATTTAATTTATATATCCTATGTGGCCTTTCATGTAAGTACTCAAAACAAACAAGAATCTTTTGCTATATATGAGTTCTGTTCTTTGGTTAAATATGGTACCCATAGTTAAGGTGCTTACTTTCTGACCCACACGTGATTGCAATTATTTATATCCTGTTATTCATTTGTTCAATATTTATCTGTTGAGCACCTGTATGTGCCTGGCACTATGACAATATGAGGATTACAATAGTGAAAAAGACAGATCTGCTCCCTGACATCATATCGCTTAGTGTCTGATGGGGCATATAAACTGTAAAGAAATTATTATGTAATCAAGAATTATAGTTTGGATGGGGGGTTTAAAGAAACACAGAGTGCAATAGAAGCATAGACGGGACACCCTTTTTATTCTGGGATGAGGAGTTGGTTAGTGAGGTAGGGTGGTGAAGCCCAGGGACTTGTGAATCAGTCATGCTGGGTACCTCATCATCCTGAGCCTTGGTTCTCTTCTTATTATTATTCCACAAGGAAAGGATATTCGAGCTGAGACCTGAAGGTATAATCGGAGTTTGCTAGACAGAGAAGTTGGGTGAGATATGGAAATTCCGGCGCATTCCAGGCAGAGAGAACAATACCTTGTATGTTTCCCACCAGGCCTAGGACAACGTCAAGCATCTAATAAACACACGGGGTGGAGGGAAATGGTGAATGAAGGTGGAGTTACCTAAAAAATTCAAATTGATGCTGAGCTTCCTTCTGAACTTCCTGGTCCAGCTTATTCGCAAGGAAGTCCTCCCGGTCAACAACCAAGAACTCCGTTTCCTCCATACAGACTATGGTGTCCCTCCTTACTGAAGCACTCTGGAGGCCCATTTCCTGTTGTGTGGATGGGACAAGGGCAAGGGTGAGGCTACCTCCCGCTCTTGTTCACAGCCTTACACATATCTTCCTGTTTCTGTTTCCCCCCGAAATCTCTCCTCCCCAGATTGCAGGTTCCCTGGCCCCTCTAGACTCCTGCCTGTTCTCCCACTGGGGGCCCACCTCCTCCCTCTTAATCTGCTGCTTATGGGAAAAGAGGCAACAGGCCTGAACAGGCCAGAGGGGAGGAAGCTGGAAAAGTCTCCCTATAGGGAACAATATTCCTTAAAGACCACAGGTGAAGAGGTCGAACTTGGACATCACCCGATCCAACTCTATCAGCATTTGACAGGTTAGGGTGCTGGAGCCCACATAGGGTGTTGACTTGCAGAATATGAGGCAGGACTGGGCCTGGCCAGAAGTTCTAGCAGGAGTCCTGTCATCTTCCCACCCCCACCCCAGGGAGCCAGGCCCTTCCCCAGGCTTACTCCAAAACAGCCACCCTTGCGCAGCAATATTGGATAGGGATCCAGGAAGGCACTGCTGCCATCTTCATCCTCGGTCACTGCGACTGTGCCCAGATAGATGAAATAAAAGCTGTTGCCCCTCTGCCCTTTCTTGACGATCACACGCCTGCGACCAAACCTGGGGAAAGACCATGGCCAGCTGAGCTGGTAGCAACATGGAGACCGGTCCATGCTGAGAAGAACTCTGGACTGGGTGTGCTCTTTGCTCTGGGCTATGAAAGGACAGCCTTGGGCTAGAAGGGCCTTCAGAACAGCCCAGGCCCTGCCTATCAAGCTGGACCCCTCCACTATCACCTATCCAGTTGCCTGCCTCGGGTAGCCTACAGCTTCCTGAGAGCAGAGCCTTCGCTGGTCTGGTGCACTGTCATATGTGCTTAGGCTCATAGTAGATGCTCAGTGAACAGTAGTTGAATAAAGGAGGGAACAAATGCTGAAAGCAATGGATGGGTTAACAGAGTAGCTGAGTGATTAGGAGTGCTGGCTGTAATGTCATATGAGGATCCAGATACTGGTTCTGCCTTAGCTGTGTGACACTGGGCAACTCATAGCCCCTCTTCGAGCCTCAGTTCCTCTTCTCTATAAAATGAAGATGAGCATGCCTAGAAAGAGACAGATAAATGGCCTTATTATGATCCCCAGTAGTTCACTACCCAACTGCGCACCCTGAGGGTAGAGGTGCCCAGGCCCCGAGCAAACTGGGATTTTGTCCTTAGACTCAGAGAGAAGTTTCTGTATTTCACTTACAAGGCCAAATTTCACTTCTTTCAATTTCCATTCATTTCCTTCATTCAGTCAATACATTAAATAAATGGCAACTGTGTCTGTTAGGCACAGTGAATGACACAGATTTTGTTTCCAAAATTATGGTCATGTACAAGAGGTAAATGAGGTTAAAAAATGCTTTAAGAGGGTTAAACACAGGCTAATTCAGAAGCACAGAGAAGGAACATTTAACCCAGCTTAGGAAGCTCAAAGAAGGCTCTAGTATGGTGTACAAAGTGAGTTATTCAGGTGGAAAAAGAGATGGACAAGTGTCCCAGGCAGAGGGACCACCGTGGCCAAAGGCACAGAGGTAGCCTAAAACATGGCACATTCAAGGACACAATAGTGCACTGCATGGGAGAGGGGAAGTCAGGGGAGTGATGTCAGAGAACTTCAACTGGCCCAAAGCCTCCAAAGCTGGGCTGAGTTTGGATTTTACCCAGAAGATGATGGGGAGCCCAAAAGTCTGCCCTTTAGTCTCTGCCAGGTCTGATGAGTGACCATGGTATTAACAGAAGTGCCCTGATGGCAGGGCTATGTCTGTCATTTCCTCCAAATCTGAGCTCATGGCACTTGCCCTTGGCAGGTCCTCCTATTCCTCTTCTTCCTCTACACTGCCACCTTCTATTTCTTTGTGACTCACTGGCTCGACCAGCAGCAGGAGCACCAACACTCTGCTCAGGGCAGATGACACTCCCTTTATTCCGGCAATCTGTCCACATTGCTCCCCCTGCCTGGAATGGCCTTCCCTCTCTTCTCCACCGACTCGGATTCATTCAGGAACTCAGATCCTACTTCCTCCAGGAAGCCTTCCCTGATCCATCCAACAGCAGCATCTCTTCTTCTGAGCTCCTAGAGCACCCACTGGCCTCATGATCCCGTGGGAAACTGAGGGAAGGGATCAGAGAACACACAGACAATGGCGTTAGGCTCAAGTCAGTAGCCTCAGGATCCTCTCTGGCTGGGGGCTTGATCAGGTCCAAACCAGAGGCTGGTATCAGCCTGGGATCTTTATCAACATAGGAAAGGGGAGACGCCCCAGATGACAATGAATAGATGGGAGATGGAAGGAGTATTTAGCTAGCAAATGAGATTTTGAAGAGGAGAAAGCACAGGCTTCATTTAAATGTAGACTTCTAGAGCTAGAGCCAGGAGAAGGACCCTCAGAGACCATCAAGCTCAGCCAACGTTTTTGGAAAGAGGAGAGTGGGGCCCAGGGAGTCCACAGCTTGCTAAAGGTCATGGTGAGCCACAATCAAGTCAGCACTAGAACCTGAATCTCTTAGAGCAGACATCTGTTGCTTTTGCTGTCACATTTTTCTGCCAACCGTACCCTGATTTTGTTTTGGGGGAGCTATCTCTTCTCAACTCTCAATCAAAATATCACTGACCCCAGTGATGAGTCATGCAAAGTCAATCTGGTTCAGAAAGAACTAATCCCAAAGCTCTGACTCGAATGACTGAAAAGAGCTTTTCTCTCTGTCCCATTGGAATAAAACTGGAAAGATGGAATTCGGAGCTGTGACTGTGGCAGCCATCTCGCCACCACGAGGGGAGTGTCTGGTGGAGGAGAAGGCTTATGGGAACCAAGTACGAAAAGACAGACAGATAGGCACTAGGTCCTGGTGACACTGAGCCCCTGAATTCCAGCCAAGCCTGAAACTGAACTGTTTTCCCAGGACTTTTCAGATACATGAGTCACTGATGTATTCCCCTAGGCTGAGTTTTCCGATACTTGC